TATCTTTTGATGATAGTTTCTTTTCTGAATTAAGTATTAGCTAGTGTGATTGTTAAAAGCTATACTACTTTACCAACTCGGGATTTCTACTATGCAAATCCTTTGTCCATAGATCCTATCAAGATTTATTCATATAACATTATGCTCTTTAAACATTCTGTTACACTTCCAATATTTGAATGATATTAGTGCAACATAATTTACAGGGTTACAACTCCAGAAACGAACAGGGTTTACTATAAGTTGGGTACAAAAGTCTGAGTATTATTCAAATTCGTCAACAGTAGGATTTGAACTCCAGACCTCTTGCATGGTAGTCTGGTAACCTAACTACTATACTAAGATCACCAGACCTTCTATAAATTATATTTATAAGATATATAATTCTTAAATTATCTTAGAAATAATTTTAGTATATTTTTTTTTTTACTTAGACAAATTTGCTCTTTATTTTATTAAGAGAATTATTATATAAAATAATATAGACAATATAAAAATACTATATCTTGATATAAACTTTACTACTCTCTTTGTTATAATTTAGAACTAGCTTAGCTACTCAGATAATACCCAAATTTGATCTGCTATAGAAGTATTTTATTTCTTATTAGTACTATTCTATCTAGTAGAAGAGAATACTAATAATCAAAAAAAAGCAATTTCTAACTCACATCAAGATTCTAAATTCCTTTTAATCTAATTTATATTAAATTAAAAGTTGTTAATACCTAGTCTCAAAATAAAAAAATAAAAAATTATTATAAATAACAAAAAGTAAAAAAGCTATATATTATAAGAATATAAGCTAGAATAGTAAAGAAAAACTTGCTAACAAGTAAAAAATCTTGTTATCTAAATATAGATAAAAAATAAATAAAATAAAATAAAATAAATAAACAGAAATTTTTTTTTGATTTAAAAAGAAAAAAGAAAAAGAAAACCTCAGAGTAGTTTAATTTAAAAGCAAGCTTAAAGGTAAGTACTACCTTTAAAAATTATATATACTAGTTGCTACTTATATATATATCTCTATTATCAACTATTTTTATCAAGTCTACTTCTTACTAGTCTAACAGAGTATAGCTTCATATATTCTTCTAATGAAGATTATTAACAAATATTAATATAGTAGCATATATACTATATATATTTATGAGTTGTTGTTGTTTAGTAGCATACAAGTATAATCTTTACTTTTTTACTAACTTTGTAATAAACTACTATAGTGAAGTAATATTCTACTTAGATACTATTAAGAAGCTTTCTTCTATATCTTATATTATTTGTGTTGTATTAAGAAAACTAGTACTTATAACACTATCAAGATTTATTTGTATAATATTATCTCTTCAAATATTGTATTATACTTTTGAGTAGTTTTTTTAAAAAAAATTTTATAAGTTTAATATTTTTTGAATAAATATCACTCTTTTATACTAATAGCCAGTTAACTAATAATTGGTTATATCAATACTTTTTTTTAAAAAAAATCTATTGTTTTTAAAATTTACTAGTTATATTAACAATTATAAAAAAAATTAATCATATTAATATACTAACAATTTAGTAGTAAAAATTCTTTAAATTAATTTTTTGTTATAAGATATAGTGACAACTTTTATAAATTGATTTATTTATATTAACAAATAACAAATTTGCTTTATACTAAGCTTAATATAAAATGAATTTGCTTTATACTAAGCTTAATATAAAATAAATTTATTTTATACTAAGTTTAATATAAGATGAATGCTTTTTGTTCAAAGTAGAGTAGAGAACTTACTGTTTAGACTAGAGCTATAAACTAAACTATTTGAAATGATTCAAATTATATAACAATTAGTTTTACATAGTTTTGACAACAAGTAAAAAATTATATAGGCTAGTAGTAGCCTTTCATTGATAGTGATTAGATAGTATATTTATTTATATATCTAATTATAAAAGGAAAATACTGCTGCAACAGATCGCATTTGAGTACCGAATAGGTAGCTAAATGAGTCTAGAATTGCAACAAAAAGAGCAGTCTAAAAATTAGAGTAGTTTTAATTTTTTGTATTAGTCTAAATATCTATAAGATAATTCTTTTAATAAAATGAAAGACAAGATAGCCTAAGTAAAAAATAAAAAAAAAAAACAAGTAAAAAATTATAAATACCTATTGCAATAATAATTGTTATCTAGTTTAGGCTGTTCCAAATAGTTTGGTTTATAGCTTTAGTTCAGATTTCTATTACAGGTATCTCTGAAAAAATATAGATATCTAATTTATTAAAGGTATTTTATATTATTTATAATTCATAAAATAAGAATTAAATTCATATTTACTATGCAGATTTGTTTATATAAGTTTAGATCAAAATCTCAACAAATAGAATTCTGACAAACAAAATCTTGACAAAAATTGACTAACACTATGCTAACTCTAACTCTAATACAGGCTAATCTATTAGAATTTTGACTATTTTGAGATTCTGGTTGTTAGGATTTTAACTAGCTTCTATTTATACAAATAAAAAGTTCATTCTTTCTATATATAAAAATAACAATAAATAAATAAATTTTAATACAAAAAATTGTAAAGAAATAAAAGAGAATACAATATAAACATTAATATCTAATATAGTAGATTCCTTTTGAAAGTATATGCAATTATATAGATAGTTTTAATAATTAAAATAATATAAAAATAATGTAACAAAATTTTTTTTAAAAATATAACCAAAAATTAAAATATATTGTAATAGTTATTGTAATGGTTAATTAATATTAATAAAAATTATTTAAAATTATAAAAGTACAATATATAGTATGATGTAAAAAAAAATAAGAAATAAAGATAAATAATGCAGATAATCAAAAAAAATTATTATTATTAACAATCATGTAGTTAATCACTTATTATGTGTTTACTTTTATTACATGTTTTGCTTTTATTATGTGTTTCACTTTATTCTTATTTTAGTTTTATTATATGTTTTATTTTAATACAATTAATAAATTATTTAACATTGTTAAATTAAACTTTAATGATACTCCAAAATAATAGGCGAGAAACTTCAGCAGAACGAAACACTTATCTAAAAGAAGATGTATAAGAGATCGATTACATCAAAAAAAAGAAACTTCAGCAGAATGTAACACTCGAAGAAGAAAGACCAGGAAAGACAGCGACAGCATTGGTAACAAGAGACCTATAGATAAGAAACCTTTTTTTCGTTCGTCACAATTAATTATGATAATTATTTGATCAAACTAATTCTAATAATTGGGACTATGTTATTTAATGATTTTATTACATAAATATGACATTTTGAACTATTAATCTATTAAACTATATCTTTTTTGTAGGCTCTTGCGTTTGGTCGTAAGTTAGGCTCGAATTATGAAGAAAATGCACATAAATTAAATAATAAAGATAAGTAACTCATAAAAGAATATTTTGAAATTCAAAAGCAAAAGTTTAATAAAAAAAGTGGTTTAAAAATCTAGGCTCCGAACTTCAACGGTTTCCGTTTCCTAGTTATACTAAGTTTTAGCATAAAACAGGTTATTTTATGCTTAACGTAGTTATTTATAAAGCTTGGTGAAAACTGGCTAAATCGACAAGTTTACGAATTTCACTCCATCAATCTATTACAGGCCTTGCACCGCAATATTAATATAATGTCGGTATAGACATAGATGCTTATAAACTGACATCTGGATATATTGACAAATTTTCCATTGCTGGAGAGTGTCGATATAACCAGAGTGACGTGTAATAAAAAATAGAATTAAAAATTAAAAGCCGAGCAGGCGGGTCATTTTTAAATTTATGTTATGAGAAACAATTAATTAACTTTGTATGGCCTAATAAAAAAATAGCCAGAAAGTATATAAGATTTCACCTGCGATATGCGAAAAATCTTTATTGTGACCACTTAAATATAAAAAATTTCAAGATTACCGATTTTAAAATTACATTGAAAACAAACTAGATACTTACTTTTAATCAAAGAAAAAAAATTTAAATTCTCAATTCAAATTCAATAGGATAATGGTCTGTGATGCGTTTTGCTACATTCTTGACCAAAATTGGATCAAACTTTTCATTTATCCAAGACTCATCGAATCTCCATACACGAGTATGTCCAATCCATCTTCGCTTATTTACTTCCTCAAAAACAAAACGATCATAAGCGGCATATCCTGCAGCAACAGTGGTGTCACTTGAATGTTGAATTCCCCAAACCAGATTGTTTTTATGCAATATTCCATCAAGTTCCGATAGTTCTTTTTTGTTGAGATAAGAACCTGAAGCATTAAAATCACCCATTAGAATAATAGGTTCATTATCTCCGACAAATAGGGTGTTTTCTTCTGATATCTCATTTGTGTCTTGTAAATGTTCGAAGCAACAACATAAATAACGCCGTAAAAGAGTATATAAACCAATAGTTTTTCCATTTTCTTGTATAATATCCTTTTTTAATTTCTTTCTCACATTAATAAATACATCAGTCACTAATGCTTTTATTTCATAAAACGCATTTTCAGGTTGTGTGTGACAACCAACAAGAGTAACTTTCATATTGGGCTTTCTTAAATGCTGAAATCTGACAACATAAGGTTCTCTAATGAATTTATCTTTATCTTCATTATCAATTACATAGTCTTCTAATACTTTCCATTCATTCTGTCTATACAAGTAAAGATACCTTTCTTGATACGAATTTTTACCAATAGGACGACTCAACACAAAAGAATATGGCGTGGTGGGTGTTGATACTAAGTCTGCAAGTTGCTGAATTATTCCTTCTTTACCTTCTGGTACATGAATTTCTTGACAAAAAACAATATCATATCGTTGAAGGATGTCTACAATAATTCTCATTATAGCATTATTAGAAATTTTTTTTACTCCAAATGATTGAATATTAATTGCTCCAATAATATTGATATTTTTGTTAAATATGCGGGGAATAGATGAAGATGGTAATGGAAATGATGCTAAAAGAGCATCTTTAACTTCAGCGGTATATTTGTCTGTAATAACTTTATTATTATTTCGTTTTTTACGCTTTTTTGGAACTGGTGGTGCCAAATGTCCTTCACTAGTTGTATTGGTTTTTTTCAATATTTTAACAACTTTATGAGTAGGATTTCGAACAACGATTTTGGGGATAATCATTTTCTTTGGTTCATTGCTTTCCGAAGCACCAACAACGACAACGGTGTTCTTACGACTCTTACGACGAGGTTTCTTCCTATGTATTGAATGGATAATACATTTTGCAGTATTTTTCCGGTCTGACGAACGAGAATGGCCCTTTGAACTATGTGACCATCCATTATTTTTCTTTGCATATTCGTCAGAACTACAGTTTCCAATGGCTTTTATATAATTTTGTCCCTTTAGTGAACGGTTTAAAGTTTCAAATGATGAAACATTTTCACTCTCGTTGTCCGATGGTATATATTTGCTGCTTCCCCTTTGCTTTCGGGTTTTATGAGTCTTAGCCGACATAAGTATAAAGCGTAAAAACGTTTCTTTTTCTAAAATAAGTCACTTTATTAAATTATTTTTTAATTAATCTGATCTTTTTAATAACATGCTATCAATCACATCAAGTATCATTATAAATTTTCTTTTATCATATTCGTTTAACATTTTAAACTAATACAGATAGATCGGGCTGCTTTCCCTTTATGATTAATTGGCGCATCAAGTGTCTTATGCTTACGGAGAAAGGGTTAGCCTCACCATTACTATTACGTATTTATTGCTTGATTAACGAGAAAACTTCTATTCACACATCTCTGGGTCACTCGTCTCAGCCGTTGAAAAAGTCTTAATTGGTTCTAGGTTGGTAAAGTAGTATAGCTTTTAACAATCACACTAGCTAATACTTAATTCAGAAAAGAAACTATCATCAAAAGATA